ACATGCACCTGTAGCTGTTTTGGCCTTACTCTCCCTGTGACTGGGTCCTGTATTCCTGTTTACAGAACTGCTGCAAGATCCCTCTGGAACCCTCAACATCAGAGGGATATAAACCAGTTGGAGCAAGTCCAGAGGAGGCCACGAAGATGCTCAGAGGGCTGGAGCACCTCTGCTATGGGGACAGGCTGAGAGAGTTGGGCTTGTTCAGCCTGGAGAAGAGAAGGCTCTGGGGAGACCTTAGAGCAACTCTGAATGTCAAACTAACACTGCTCTGCTTCAAGCCCTGAGGTTTTTTGAGCTGGCAGACAAATAAAGCCTCTTGCCAGCATCTGAACTTCAGGGCAGATAGACAATTACTCCAGTGCATTCAGCACCAAGGCAGCATTTTCTGGACATGCATTCCTCCTGAAGACTGAGAAGAAAACCAAAACCGATCTGTTACGTGGTAGTAAGTTTGCCTTCAGATGAAAAAAATTTCCTCAAACCATGGCTGCTGGCATTCCCTATGAATTGCAAGAAAGAATAAAACGTGGATTCCTCTACAGGGCTTGGGGGCAAGATCCATGAAAAAGGATGTCTGCCCTGTATTTCAGCTGTCTCATTTCTGAGTGTCCTGCCACCGAGCAAACACACAGCACCGAGGCTGACCTCCCCAGTCCCCCCCCAGGAACATTGTGTCCAAGGCAAACGACACGTCTGAAGAGTCCCTCTTACTTCGTGAGCGAGTCCCCGATGACACGGAGTTCTCAAAGGATTCAGGTTTGGAGAGTTCACCAGTGACCAGTAAGACACACGTACTGTGTAAAATGGAAGATAACATGAGCTGAAAATTTGTTCTTATAGGAAAGGAGTAGGAGTGAACTCCTAAGGCAAGTTTTCTGTTCTTCTGTAATAATTTATCTTTGTTTTTTTTCAGCAGACCCCTGCATAGCTGAAAGGTACTTCCATGATGCAAATGGAAAAGCTTGTGACTCATCATCTTACTGCCACCAATGAACATGTTAATTTTGATTACTGAAAAAGGAGGGCTCTCCAACTCCCCACCTTCTTCCCAAAGAGATCCCCAGTCCCTCTTTCCTCTGTGTCAGCATAAAATCTTAACACTCCTGAAACAAACACAGTTTTCTTGGTTTGTGAACTGTGGTGTCAGGACTTCCTTTTGGAAAAAACCTACCCATCTTCCTGCATTACAGGGCTATTTTTAGGGTCAGTGAGTATGAGACATATGAAAAATAAATCCTCAACCATGAAAATAACAGAGGAAACAAGCTTTATTATTATTATTTGAAATTTTTGTGCGTGGTAAAGGTACACATTTGACTCTGGTTTTCCTACATTTCCAAGACAGAGTAATTTATCTTTTTTTAATCATCGGCTAAAGCATCAAGAATACCGTGGCACACAGGAAGCTAAAACTACACACACACACACACAAACACTTTGATGCGCATCTTTCATCCTTGACCTTAAGGAGACAGAGTTTGTATTTAGCCTCATAGGGATTAAAAAAACCAAAACCCAACCAAACAAAAGCAAGTGAGAAGAATATTCCATTATGAGTGTAAAGAGAGTGCAAGGCTTATACGTACACAAAACATATGAGATTGACTTACAAAGATGGAATGTACAAAACCTTAAGAAAAAAAAAGTAAAAAGGAAGAAGACAGACTCACTCCTCAAACTGGAAAGCTGCAGCGTATCAACTGGTAGAGATTTCCAACAGGGGCTACTGCCATACACTGTGCAGCTTAGGGAACATTCCCATGTCATAAGCCAAAGCAAAAGTGTCAGGGTTAAGGCCGTGTTGCTCACAAACACCAACTGAAGTGCTGTACATTCATCAGAAGTAACCTGTTAGGAATCCTCCTACTCCAAAGCACAAACACCTTTTGCGCACCCTCCACAAACAGCCAAAACAATCGCTGCTCACAATCCTGGAAGAAAATTTTCCATGTACGTCATGATTTCGTAACTGGCTGTCACCCACCACCGCAAGCCATTTCTTTATAACAAACACAACATATTGGGCACTTACAGTTCTCATTATGGCAACACTAGATCCTTAGTTATAAAAAATATTGACATAAAATCAAAGGCCCTCTGTTTTTTACAGAGCAGAAGAGCATTTACTAATAAATAACTCTCCATCGACATTAGGCAAATGCTTGCCCCAACCATTTTCCTTTTCTTTGTCAGCTACATTGGTGCTGGTTTAGCCTATGTAAAAATCCGCTACTGTTTATATTGGATTTATCCGAACAGATCCTTTTATTCTATTCACAAAACACTGAAAATACAGTTGGCTGGTTTGTCCTAAAATGCTCCAAATTACACAAGATCTGATAACCTTTTGAGATTACTTTGGAGTTGAAGATTAGTTAAATGAAGCACATACTTTCACCATTCATGCCATGCTGCTAGTCAATTAGCATTCCAGGGAAGTCAAGGGAACATTTGCTTATACCTGAAATCTGGCAGCAGAATGCCTTTAATAAATGCTAACAATTCAGCAAATCAAGTAGTGCAGTCTTGACGTTCACTTAATTGGATGAGAGAAAAAAAAAAGCCAGTTTTTTTAGAGCAGAATTTCTGCTTTGCTTGCTCTTTGTAAGGTTTGTAAGCCAAGTATTTTAGCTAAATTGGCTTCAGATGCACACCAGCCAAGCCATGTGTTCCTCGGTTTCCTGATGCTAGGCAGATAAGGTCAGACCTTGGAAGGGAATGCCTTGTGCCACCGAATTGGTAATGGCAGTTGGCAGTATTTGCTATCAGAAGAAACTCCAAATCAGCGTCATTTTTCAGGTGCATCTGAAAACCCCAAAGGCTCTACACTCTTAAGAAAAAAATCCGCATCACCCCGAATAGCTGTTAGCTGGGTTGCAAGGGGGCTGTGTGCAGAATTCCGTGTTTCATCAGGATGCACTGGGTTGACACAGGTATTGTAAAATCCTGGCAAACAATGCTGAGTCAAAGGGACTGGAACTCTTCTGCAGAAAAGTGTATGCATGTATACAGTCTTAAGTATATGTTTTGATACATAGATTAGGGTCTGATTTCTGTGCTTCTCAGAGTTCCTGGCAACAGTGGATTTGGCAAAGTTTCTTGAGTGGAAACCATGCGAGTTTAGTAAAATGTTATTGTAAAATTCCAAATTTGGAACTAGATTTGATTAATATTATCCATAACTGACAGCAACAGCACATTTCTCATTTTCTTTATAAATCTCTATCTCAACCTATGCAACTTCTTCTCTTGGTTGATAAATACAATTAAAATGCTACAAACCTTTCCTTCATCTATAAATTCACCATTTAAGGGCATTCCAATGTCAGAAATTGTTTCTTTGCCAGAAGGTTGCTTATAAGGACACTTAAAAGGAAACTACTTGATCATTAGAAAATCTGATTTACAACTTTGTTAAATTTTGATAGGACAGTTTATTGTGTAAGGACTGAGATATCATCTTCAGAATTTTAGGACAAACTCAGTTCAGGCAGAGGATATTTTGTTCTCTTGGTAATTAACTTTTTAAAACTGTTACCACCAGTTTCTTAGCTGCTTTATATGGTCCAAACCTTAAGCCTTATACACAAAATGTTTATTCCAATGAAACAAGGAAACTTATCTTTGCATGAGAATTTGTAAATTGGCTCTATGTGCAAAATATAAACAAGGGAAAAACCAGGAAATATCTTAAGGAAACAGTAATTAAAAAACAGACAAACTCCACATTTAAGAACCTTGGAGTCTGCATTTTTACAAGTCAAATGCATCTTTACCAAAAAAACCCAAACAAACAAAAAAAAAACCTCAAACAAAAAACCACCACCAATTTTTTTCTCAAATTCATTGAAAAAACCAACCTTAACCTTTTAAAAGACAAATACTTATAATGAGTAATTTCACAAAGATTTCTTTCCATTTTGCAAACATGCTTAAAATACTCCCTTGTTCCTGACCCAATGTCCTTTTGTTTCAAGGCGCTAAAAATGCAAAAAGAAAGACAGTACTTCCCAGGCTACTGTCGGCCTTGGCAGCAAACTCACCAGCTCCTCAAACGAGGTTTAAGAGTGAGCACTGCTCTGTCTGTATTAGGCTACAGTAGCAATTCATCCTTTGACCAGTGGATTTAGAAGTAAGAATAAAGCCATTGCTACTTGAAAAAGGACAAGTTCACACTTAAACACATTAAAAACACAACAAAGTCATATGATGGTAAGCATTTCCAATTAAATTAATACTTCAAAAAAGAACACAGTAAAGAGATCTGGCAGGAAGAAGGAGGGACATTTTCAGAGTACTGCCATTGTCAAATGGCATATATGCATTCCAGTCTGCTGAAATAACCTACATTTACTTGGTTTTATTCTTTTGTGCCAATCACCCATACATACATACATACATACATACAAACAAATCAGAACAAATATCACAGTCCTCATTTTGCCCTCTAACAAAATTCCCTTTGATGAAGGACTTCAGGAATTGGATCAAATTCATTCTTATTTGTAATGCATTTTTTCTCCTGTAAAAACAAATAGTTTTGGTAACCCTTGGCTTTTCTATACAACCTCTGTTTACCACAGTTCCTTTGGTTGTATAATGTAGGTCCTCCATAGGGGTACCTCTCTGGCTTTCTGTCCTGTGTGATGCTGCATTTTATTTTATCGGTTAATACAATGAGTTGCCTTAAGGAAACACGGCAATGAACATATACAAAAGAGTGGCACACATGAGGTGAATTGAGTTGACATTGTAATAACCCCGATTCCTAATGAACTAGTTTGGTGTCAGAAGGTCTGTTGCTATACAGAAATTCAGCTCTCACTCATGTATCACTACAATTAAGTTTTTCCAGAGCTTTAGAAATGTCGGGTCTCTGCAAAGTCCTTCCAGCACACTGAGCAAGAGGAAGAGTGAAAAACAAGCACATGAAACAATCCTTCATTAATCCCACATGAGCAGGGAATTTGCATTGATTCTCATAGTGCTTAAATGTTGAGCTGTGTTAGGCCTGACAGTTAGAGCTAGACAGATCTTGTGAGACTTAACCTTATACTAAAAGGACCTACTTGTTATAGATAGTAAGACTGAAGAATGTTAAAAGTGTAATACCTACCATGATAATGAGATCTAGAAGATAACCAGGATCACCTCTGGGTTAAATAATGCATAACCATGATACTTCAAATTTAGAAGCTCTGAGCAGGAGCTATCCTTTGCAGTCTTCAAAAAGCTTTGGGGACTCTTCCCAAATTTTTCTCATTTTTGCCTAATTAGTTAATTCCAGTTCCATTAGTTGCAGTTTGTGTGTAAGATCCCATTGTCTTTATGAATTCAGTTAAAGAAGATTCTCTGTATTAACCCTTACAACAAAAAGTTCAGTGAGAAACGCAAGAGGTGCAAGTCCTATGTAAACAAGGTAAGCTTGGAAATTAACGCGAGAAGTCCATGCGAGACTCCTCCATTCTTAAAAATGAACTCAAAGCAGGAGATATCCTGCACTGGATCTCCAGGACCAGTCTTTTCTTAAGGTTGGACGATTATCCAGCTCCGGAGCTCATTGCTACTGTAAGTATCGGTAGACCTTGAAGCAGTGATTTCCAGAGTCTGCAACTACCACATGGCCATCTGAAGTAAGGGCCAGACCTTGGGGACCATAAAGTGGGTCAGCAGAGGTGTTAATGTAGGATAAAAATGATCCACTTCCATCAAAAACCTTTGAGGGTGAGAAAGCACAGAATAAATGTTATGAATAAAAAAAAAAAAAGCAGACACAAGTCTGCTCTCAATTATACCACTACGCTTCTCATTTCTGTAACGGCTGACGTACGCTAGAATAAACAAGGTCAGAATCTGATCTGTTATTCTCATAACATGCAAGTTTATATACCAACGTGTTTTCTTATTAAAAAGAACTAATTAAAGCTGCGAGGCTCCTTGGCAAGAAGTAAACGTGCAATGAAATCATAATAAAAAGAGCACCTCAGCTGTTCCTTGTTCTAAAAACAGCCAACTACAATAAATCAAACTCAGCCAGGGAGTCAACCAACACCTTGTTTTCCTACTGAATATTACTGTTGTGGCTAGCATGAATTAAGTTCCCACACAGAGGAAAACAGGAATTTGTTTACACCGTTGACAGTGCTTCCTGAGAACAACTCAGAGGCAGCTCCCTTATGTTGATATTGAGTGAAAATAATACATACTTAGTTATTTGTTAGATATTCTTGGCCAGATAAGAAGATTTTGTGATAAGCACTTGAAAGATAGAAAGAGTGCAACTCATAACTTAAAAGCAGAATATTTTCTCAACATTTAAAAAAGATGAGAAATATCTGCTGCATTTCCCTCCAGGTCTATACCGATCATTTCCTTTTTCCAATTTTCCACCATGTCTCCAATCTTCTGTTACGGTGATTATCAATTACTATCATCCCCGCAATGCTTGCAAGTCTCCTAAGTCATCAAATAGCTTTTGGGGAACTCCTTGGAGACAAAAGCCTTGGTCACAGTGACCATCAGACTTGCTGGCAGGCACCCTAGGAAGTCCATGATCTGACACCACCAGCTCTAAAAGTGGGCAGACCAGCAATGAGGCATATAAAAGGCTGTAGAAATCACAGCACTTCTAATGCTGCCATCCTGTTTCTTGAGAATTCTGGACTTCAGTGGCCAGACTTATCAATCCATTGGTTTTCCTAATCAAGCATCTTTGATATACAGAAATTTCTACCTGTATTCGGCTGTTTCCCCAGTCTGCTACGATAATATTTCCATTAGAATCTACAGCTACTCCAGTTGGTGCATTAAATTGTCCATTTCCTTCTCCATTTGATCCAAACTTCAGTATGAATTCTCCCTCCTGGTTAAATACCTGTGTGGATTAAAACAAAAACCTGAATATGCCACCATATCAAATATTAGTAATTTACTACCACCAGTTCACCTGTTAAAACTAGGAATTGAAGGCTTCCCAGGAACACACCACCCCAGTACACACACTGAAGATGGGAGAAAAGGAGCCCATCTCTCCCTCCAGCTCCATTACACCATATGGTATTTCCCTTCTCACTGAAGATGGATTCAGCTCAGACACAGAGCTGGAGGGCCTGGGAACCCCTGTGCAGCTTGTGCATCTTGAATTAAGAAGAGCTGGGTGCAGATACGGCACTGGGAGTCACTCCTACAGAGACACAACTGAGCAGATGCACTTTTCTCTGACTTTCATAATCTAACACATCTTGAGACTCGTGGCATGCTGCTCCCTGTACAGGCAGTTCAGCAGCTGAATTCTCTGCAACAGTAACAGGTTTTGACAGCAGGAAGATGGAAATGATCAATGACTATTCTGTCAGTGACCCAGATGCACCAACGGGGCCAAGTGAGATACATACAGGATGGGTCATTTACACGGGGCCATTGCCACCTCTATTTGTTCTGGTCCCTCCTGGACCAAGGCGCAGCTGTGCCGCAATGTCCAGCAGCATTCTCAGACACCGGCTGTGGCTTGCACAAGAAAATGCAAAGTCCTTACAAGGACCAAGTGCACTCCGAAGTGCTAAGGAGGTAGAGGATGTGAGGGGATCATCCTGTTCTTGAACATCCACAGTGAACAGGGAAAAAGCCTTTTGAGGAGGAAATTAATGAAGTACCAGGCTGGTGCCTCAGATGGTTAAAGAAAGTAGAAAAAAGACAACTAATAAAAAGAACAGGCAAAGATGTATTGCTCTCTTCCTGGGTTAAAAGGGGGATGGTGAGTGACTGAAGGAGAGAGAAGTCTACCCTGAGTAGGATTTTCCATAGACGATGCCTGAAGGAAGGGACATGCTTGAAGGTTGATGGGGGAGGGAGATTAATGTTGCTAGGTGCAGATGTCTAATTCAAGACACTGGTGGCAGGAAGAGGCTTTGGGACCCATAAAAGTGAAATTTATTTCCTTTTCTATAAATTTATTTATTATTTAAGATTAGATTTCCCCACCATCTAGCAAATGATAGATTGCCAGATTACAAATTACTCTCAGATTACCCAGATTATAAATTACTCTCCAGGGTGTCAACAATTATCTGTACCAGTTTAGAGAACACTACAAAAATAAGAAACTTTTCCAGTTAGTACCAAATTATAACATTTTTATCCCATTGAGGCACACCAGAGACAGACAGGAACACTCTGTTCTCATTAGGAATGCAGTAATTATAAATTTGCTAAAATGCCACACACTTCACTTGATTTTTTTTTTTGTTTTGGCTCGCCTTCGTCATTAACTCTCTCCAGGCATTCTTGTTCCCACAGCAAACCCTGCTGGTGGAGGGGTAATTTACAGCGTCACAGGCCTCCTGCTGCTACACCAAATTAACGATCTGCTTTAGGGCTCCCGCAGCAGTCTTGGTTTCTTTGTTGTAACCCAAACCACGAGCTGCTGCTACCTCTCTGGTTCCAAAAAGATACAAGAGCCATTTCACTGTTCAAAAGCTAGATGACTGAGCATCGCTCACAGCGTGAAGGTGTCTGTGCTCAGACAGGGATTGCTGATTTCAGGTGAATATATCAGATTTATCATGTCAGTTATGAACACTGATGAACTGAACTGAGGGTTCACCTTTGTGTTCAGTCAGAGCAAGCAGCCATTAGGTGAAATCCCAGGGCTGTAAATGGATCCAGTAATCTTAAAGCTTATAAGTATAGAACTAAAGATTGACAGGTATTTGTGTTATAATATTATTTAAATAGAAATGTGTAAAGCTCTTACTGGGAAATCAAAAGCAGTCACCAGAATTACTTAAAATAGAAAAGAACATAGGGTATATAACAGGTTTGGCTGAAAGCTAAGGAAAATAACTAAGTTGATATTACTTATCTCAGGTACAACTTATGTTTAAGCAATTGAATTAGAAAACATTATAGTGGCACCAAAGGCAAGGGATTATATCTCCATTAAGCAATACACTGCATGTAAAGATCTCTGAATGTGCAGTCCTTATATCAGACCTCTTACACACACAGCGTGATGTCTTTGTTTCTAACAATACTTTATTTTCCCCAAGAAAGTACCATGATAAAATAAAAAGCTTTCCAAGTTGCCCTTAATTGACAGTACCTTGACAGAATGGTTATGAAAATCTGTAACAATAATCTCATTGTTGCTGTTTACAGCCGCAAAATGAGGACCTGCAATGCAGAGGGGAAAAAAATAATGAAACAATAATAATACCACTAAATCAAAAGGTTTGCTTAAATGAAAAAAAATTATTCAGCTTGCCAAAATATTGTATTTGGCTTCTTAGCAATAATAGTCAAATTGAGAATGTCAATTTCAAATTAAGAGCAGTTTCATTTCATGTTTTAAAAAGCTCAGCATGCCTTTCTGTAAACACAAATAATGCCTTTTTCAACCAGTTGTCAGCTAGTGTATCTGTAACCACTGTTCATTTCTTCCTCTCTCATATACAGGTGACTATGTAGATGTCAGGGAGAAAAAGTGCTTTTTTTGCTTTACTTTGTGTATTGAACTATGTGCACAAACTTGAATAAAAAAAAAATGGTAGCTTGAAAACAGGCAAGTACCTGAGTCAAAATAGTTGGTGCTATTTCGAGTTATTAAACAGATCAGAAGTCAGTTTCAATTTTCACAGTACATCGGTGTAAACTATAAAAAGGGTGAAAACCTTTACACTGAAGACATTCAAGTGGTGACAATTCACGTGGTTTATGCCAAGAAGAGGTGATGCATTGCTCAAACGCACTGTTACAGAGTATTTGCACACTTATTTTCAGGAGTATTCTTTAAAAATTTACATCTCATGCTGTGAACCAGTCAGAACATCAGACCAATCTATAACTACTTATTTAATGATCCAACAGCTGCAAAATGACCTGTATATGCAATTTGGCATCTTCATTTCAAATTCTGAAAGAATAGCTACTCAGTCAAAATACATCAGGTGTGTTTTTTTTTTAAAAGACACGATGTGCAAGCAGTCAGTTGAATATAAGTGGTGATTTCCCCAAACTGGCTTTTTCCGTTTGCATAACTATGTCTACCTGATCTCAATCTTAACACTATGCCATTACACTCATCTACTAATGGGAAGCTACCACTTTGGGCATTGGATAATGTGTATCTGATCACTGGAAACACAAAGCACGGTGTGTGAGTATTATCATGAACAGCTGAGTGTGGGCATTACAAAGCATTTATAAAATGCTAGTTAAGATCAGCCTTTCTTGGGTCACTGGTCTGAAAGGCTTCCAGGCACAGTACATAAAACAATCTGGTTACAGCTACATTTGCAGAACAGATGTTGCAGTCTTCCTGACCAATGAAACAAATGGCAAAGTGAATAGGAGTGGTATGTTTAGCAGAACCTTTCCCCCACAGGAAAAAGGAGTGGGATGTAGCATCTTCGACATGCTCAAACATCATGCAAATGTGAGCAGAAGAGGCAAGAAAAGGGGATTTACATATTACCATCAAGTGTACCTGCAAACTGCTTGTCACCATTTCCTCGACTACCGAACCTTGTGACTATTTTCCCGTTTGGCTGGAAGATGAAGACACAGCATGCTTTATTGTCCACTACAATGATGTGTCCGTTACGATCCACAGAAACACCTTTAGGGCCCATGAGTTTTCCAGACCCAATTTTGGCCTGAAAGGGAAAACATAGAACAGGAAAATATGTTGACATGATAGAAATACATGAGTAGAGTTCAAAGATTGTATTACAAGAACACAGCAGGAGGGAGAGACATTTTTGTCATCCAAATTCTCCCAGAGAGAAGTGATTGCTTTTATCTGCTCTTATTGCATACTTCATAATTTTTAATTCAGCTGAAAATAAAGACTGCTTTCTCTATGCCCTTTCAAGAGTGGAAAATCTGCCACCTCAGGGTCCAAATATACAACTCACGAGAAACAAAATCATCAGATTCGTGTGTCTTGATAAACTACAGCATCTGTCAGAAACCATCGCAAACAGCTGTAGAGCCAGGACTAGTGTACCAGCAGGACAGGCAGACAGGCATGAAGGACTTCTGCCTCCTATTGCATACTATTCCTGAGTCCACCCACCACGTGGTTATGGAGAGGGAAACATGCCTTTATGACTGCCTTCTACATTAAAGCAGTCAGAGCTCACTCGTGGAGCATCAGAGCTGGGTGGGATGTAGGCTGTGATGTCTGCTGTTGCCCTTCTTGGGTGAATGAGACACCATGCAGCTTCCAAGTGCTCTAGGAAAGAATTTGAGCAGAGCTAAAGCTCAGGATAACCTCTACATCTTCCACCAGATCCACAGGAGCTTGCTTCACTTGCTGCTTAGACACATGAAGTGCCAGCTGAAATCTGCACAGGAGATAGGATCGTGCTGCCAAACAGCAAATAAAATAATCTTCGAAAAACTAAATAAATCACAGCTTGCTCCTGGCTTAGGTAAATAAAATTATTTCCATCCATTTAAATAGGCTTTCTGACAACCAAAACCATCTGCCAGCATTGTCAGCAACAGGAGGGGAACTGTACACAATATTCCGTATAGTATCGATGGGAAAACCTTCAGAGGAGATGAGGTGGATCTCATACATGGTGAATTATTTGGGAAGGCTAAAGAGCTGTCAAAATGCATCAGAAAACATTGGAAGTGTTCTTTAGTAGGACCAAAAAGAAGGGGATCTGAGAAGCAGATCTAAGAAACAGCATCCCATCCAGCCCAGAGCAAGCAGAAATTGAGGCAAAGCTTTCAGAGAACCCCTGAGCTACCTGGGCATATACACAAGAAGATTCGAGGATCACCTTGCAACCCATTTCATATTTTTCACTGTTCTGCTCTTTTTTTCAGGCAGAGATTTTAGATACTACTTTAATCTACATAAAATCTGTTGAGTTTTGACTTTTCAGTTACAAAAAAGGGTTCTAAAATACCACCTAATTGTTTGGGGGTTTTGTTGTTAGAATGCAGCAACTTGCTTTCTGGTTTTGGTTGCTTTTTTAAAATGATGGGCAGGTTTGAAAGCAGTTATCCAGGTTGGTTATAAAAGTCTGGTCTCCTGCCAGCCTCGTTACTGTGCTGGACACACAATCCACCAAACAGGCTGTGTTGAAATTATGGATCCCAGAACTTTTAGATCCTGTAGTAGCTTGTGAGACACATCCTACAAACTGAGGTCCATCTCTTTGGTGGAGAACATAATTTCCTGTTTCCATCTGAATTTAAATGAAATAGATGATAATTTTTCATCTTTATGAAACAAGACTATTTTTCACCTCACTGCCTTTGCAGGGTGGGACAGACCACCACCTAGAACAAACAATCCTTCTGACTTCTCTGTCGCTCTCCCCTCCCCCCTGCAAGTTGCGAGGAGTAGCTGAAGCTCTGTTAGTCTGTGACTATCAAAGTGGGACAGATTACAGGGCAGGGAGAAGATTCATTACCTAACTCATTTCTCTCAATTCCCTCATGTTTTCAAAGCAACCAACCATGTTAGTATCTGAAAGAACTCAGCTACCCTCAGTATATCCCATGCTCCTATTCCACGGTACATTCTCATGGGTGGGGTTGCAGGTGAAAATAGGAACCATCCCAAAAAGGAGCCACCTAGGTTCCCTGAGGCTGTCTGCTAGAGTCACCAGCCTCTTCCAGTCTCAAATAAAGAAAACTCCATGGAGTAAATCTTGTGGGCCAAGACTGTGCTTAGCCAATATGCAATGGTCATGTGTTTGTTTTATGTTCAGGTACGTATGCTGTTATAAATTGTTAAATATTTAGGAAAAAACCCCTGCAAACACCTAATTAAATCATGCTAAAGTATCCCCAGGGAAAAAATTAAAAATTACTGTGTTCACCAGGGGAAAGATATGAGCAGATCTACAAAATGTATTCAGGTTTGCATAACAACAAAGCAGCAAAAACATAAACCAAATGCAAATCAGTACATTTATTTCCTTTGGGGTGATTAAATCATATCCCCTTATTTCCTCTGGGATGCCTGTGTGTTTGTCTGCTTGTGCATTGCACCACCTCCTTACCATCTTTCCAGGATTCCTATGGAAAAATGACTCAGTCATGAGTACAGTGTTTTCCTGCCCATATAAATACATATGGAAAAAAAAAAAAAGAATAAATCATGTACTACATTAATGGGTAAGCAGTGCTGAGAAGAGTAATAAAAATTACTATTATTGGGCTAGGATTTAAAATATAATAATCAGGCAGCAATAAATTATGGCCATCTAGAGTTTACAATGTTTTCTACTAAAAATCTCTTTTTCCAGTTTAGATCAAAATATGCTGATGACACATTACTGGGTCTGGCTGACCATATGCTTAGTATTTTTTTATTTCAGAAGGTTTCTTAGAATTATGCATTTGATTATATAGAACAGAACATTATGAAACCCAGTCACTCCTGTTGACTGTATGAATGGAAGCATTTTCAGTCTTTTCTGCCATTAGAAATGAATAAAGTGTAATGAATCACCTGAACCCTTGATACAAATAATGTGTTTAATCAAACTCAGTCAAGGACACTATGTCCCTTATTTTATAGGGTCTTATAAATTTAAACTGGTTAACTGGTTTTCAAATATGTGTTTATAAAGTCACCCAAACCCAACGGAAAATATTCTGCTGTGGGATATTTCTAGAGGTAAAAAAATCAGCTAGCCTATATAAAAATATATAAAGACTTTTCCGCTGTAGAAGTAGGTATGTTAGGGCTTTACGTTTAACTCCACCAACCTTGTTGCTGTCTGAAAGGTTCACAATTGTCAGGAATTAATTTACAGACTTTCAGCATACCACCTTCTCCTGCTTGAGAACTTCCCTAATATGGAGATACAGCTTTGTCACGCACCACAGTATCACACAGTAAATGGATTTATCATTCATGTGACTGTCTTAATTCAATTGTGGCCACTTAACCACACTCCACAGAACTATTCCTATCTGAACATGCAACCAGCTTCAGGAGGCTCCCTTCTTAATTCTCCTAATGAGTCAAGAAAAAATAAAAGTCTGACAGATAAAAAGTTTTCTTCCATCTTTTCCCACTCCTCTAAACTTGACCCTGTCTTGCAGCCTGGTCAGGCTGATAGCGAGCTATCTAAGATACAACACTTCAAGGCTAGAAAGAAAGCAGCTCTCTCCTATGGGGAGCAGGAATCGTTCTCTTGGCAGTGTTCTCCAGTGCCTTCACTAGGTCTGAGCACCACCACTGACACAGAAGCCGATATTGCTGCTTCACCGTGCATCCTCCTTAGCCTAACAATATGCCTTCTATAACAGTTTTCTTACGCAATTTCAGAGTAATCTACACAGGAAGCCAGCACCGATATCTGCCTTTTGTAGGTGAGGCAACTAAAGCACTGGGAAGTGAAAGGGAAGATGAGTAGTCACCTGTAAGACCCATGGCAGAGCCAGAAACAGAAGCCCCAATTCCTAAGACCCTATCTGAGGCTTTATCATTCACAGGATAATACAGGCTTTCATTTCAAGAGACTCCTGTTTTTCTGTAACCTTAGATTCGGGTTCGTGCACTGCTGCAATTTCAAGTTTCACAGCCTTGGGAAAATGGAGCTTTGTCTGTGTTGCTCCCAGCGACTGAGGAAGGTGACGCTTTTCTGCCTGGCAGTGGAGGGTTCTGGGGTGAGTCAGCCCAGTGCTGTCATCAGGGACATGCCTGGGCCTGGCTCCAGGGGAAACTTCCTTCTGGCTCATGTGACTATTAAAATGCCACTCAGGGAGAGTGAGTGTAAGTAAATACAGAAGGAAGGGGACAACAACAAAAATAGTTGGATTAAGTTCAAAACACCCCCCTGACAATGCTCAGTTCACAACTAGCAGCCCACCTGCATCAGAGGTCATATACAGTGACTTGCCGGCCCAGTCCATTGAAGGGAAACACCATTATCCCCTTATTTATCTCTCCGCGTATCTTAGCAAGTGTTGCCCAATTTAATCGGACAAAGTCCCGGTGAGAAGTACCATTGCCAACACACAAGAAATTACAAGGCCTTGCCCAGATTCGCACAAGCTAGATGTGTTATATCCATGTCCTGTGCTTCAACTATGTGATTATGCCTGCCCTCCATATAAAAAAATGCTTCTACAAACATTTGTATATTTTTCTCTCGTAAATATAGGCTGTTGCATTCAATCTAAACATAGTATTTTGTATCATTAATGTTTCATCTCTCATTTAATCAGTCTAGTCCCAAGAACTATAAAGATGCATTAATTTGTATAAACCACATAAACATTTCCAACTCTGCATAGCTCTTGCAATCCAACAAAAACATTGACTAGAAACAAAGCTAGGCTCCATGTCAGAAGAATTACCTTAACAATTCATTTTTTTCAATACCTGTCTCCCTACTGGTAGTGGTCATAGGGTCCTGGCTCCTCCAGAGCTTTTCCCTCCAGAGCTGGCACCATCCAAAATGCTGGATTTACAGCATGTCTTGAGAAGGAAGGAAAACAAGCCCTCCATGCTCTGGGTCCAGATCAAGCCAGTTCACATTAAATATGTTAATAATTATTTTAAACACACTTAGGTTACTCAGAGTACTTGGATTCTTAACAAAATTACATCTGGCTTTGTTTTTGTTTTAGTGTCTTCATTTCATTCGACTTCAGCCAAAACCAAGGTTTTCCTGTGTAGCTGTACATTTTCCAAACTACTTGACAAGGAAAATCACATACTCCCGGCAAATGCAAGAAATCTGTATTTTTTTTAACACTCGCATTGCATGTTAGTATTGTTCTATTTTGGCTTCAAGTCTACACAGGATCTGGATGCTTCTGAAGGCATCCACGTCTGTTTCCCAGATGGAGGTCTGTGCAAGCACAATCACTCATTTGCTGTAACATTTGTCACTTTGCAGACTACTCAAAGGAAGGCCATTTCTTGGTACACATGACAGCACCTCAAGACCTGAGCTTTTTGGTCATTAGGATCCCAGAAAATTAGCCAAAAAGGCAATCTATGTCCAGTGTAGGACTCTAGTACTAAGTAACTATGGGAGAAATTTCCCTGCCCATCCTTTATCTCACTGAACAGTGTGTACTGCTAACCTCTGCTATAGGTGTCTACTTCTAGCATGCATTGACAGACTTGGTAACATGCATTCAGAGAACAGCATCAAATGGAGGCAACCTTTAATTCTCTCTGGAATTGCACCTGAACCCCAGCAAAATAAATATTGCAGGTTGGCAAGCAGCAGTGTAGAGTAGCAGCTGCCTTCTTATTTTAATCCTATTAAAGGGATCAGAATCGATATGAGAATAAGAGGTGTGTTTTTCTCAGAACTTCTGATTTCTGAAACCTAAGACTTTATTACTGCCTCTCAGTTTTTCCAATGCACATTATCCCCCCTAAAACACTTCTGTCTATGCTGTAGCACTGGAACAACATCCTGGGTCGCTCTTCCTTGCATTTTTTACCAACAGGATCATACATGAATTACGCACTTAGTTTGCTGTTACATATGGAGTAAACAGAGGAAGTCATCATCACCAGTCTGCTCCCTTATTTTTCTCCTGCATATGTCACCAAAAAGCCTCATCTCCTCCTAAGTTTTTATGTCTGTCTGTGTGTATTTAGGTAGGTATATGCACAACCCATTCTGTATAATCAGAATACTAATGATACAAAGGTTGTTGAGCTAGTCCAAATACAGTTGATTACACTAGCTATCCTCAACTATGTGATATGGAAAGGCATCCAAGCACCTAGCACGTAGAACTGTGAAATGGAAAATACCTTCTCTATTTGGTTTAACATTAGCATCACAGCTGCGACCTCTTCCTAGTCGTTATACAACATGGCTGTGTCAGGGGTTTCCACATCACAACGATGGAATTTGGACTGTTACAACCAAACTATGTAGTCCCTTGACAAAATAATCCATTACTTTACATTCCTTTGTAAGATGGATAAAGCTCAGGAGAGTTCACATGTTAACTCCTACCTTAAATTTTCCATCTGATGAGAATATGCTAACCCATTTGTTATCATAATCTGCAATAATGATGTCACCACTGGGATGCACAGCCACTCCTGTTGGCCGCTGCAACTGGCCAGGAGACCTTCCTCGTATGCCAAAACGGCTTTTGAACTGACCATCGTTGGAGAATATCTGCAACAGAAAATATTAATTTAAAATTTAAGTCTGCATAACAACATCATCTATTTCTCGGAGCTTAGATTTTAGCAAGTCAGTACTGAACACTATTGTCAGGAACGTGAAGCACTTTTACACAGTCCATATATGAAAGTGATATGCCTAATTTAAGAAGACGCTTCCACCTGGACTCTAATTTTAAAATACATAAGTCCTCTGCACTTATATTGCACTGTTTCTTCAGTGATCTCAAAGTACTTTACAGACATGAGTCAATTAAGCTGCACAATGTCCCTCTCAGCCAGAAGGAAGTGATATTATTCCCATATTAGAAATGAGGTAACTGAGGAACTGAGTGATTTGGCCACAATCAAACACTGAGTCTGTAGAAAAGATAGGAATAGCAGCTAAAAGAGAATTTTAAAAATTGAATTATTTGACTTAGGGCTAAGTACTAGGCCATTTCCCTAGAGACGGTTTAGCCATGCAAAATTCAGTCTACTCGTTTGTCCCCAAGCCAGGTAATTAGATGCTTAAGTTCCTCTGAAGTGGCTGCAAATTACAAAGTGTGAGGTGCTCATATGAGTATTTGACTCCATCTCTTTGAAATGGCCTGGAAAGGAGTTCTAACTGCATGTGGTTTGCTGGTTCTCACATACTGAAGAACAAGCCACACACTGCTGCCTTGTTCATTTCTACCATGTGGGCAGCATGAAGAGTGATGACAAATTGTTAATGGTAAAAAAAGATACATGGCAGGCAAGATTAAAAACACAGCTTGATTTTCACACAGGTTACAGAAGCCAAGAAATCATGGGTGTCAGGGATGCTACCACAGAAAAGATCCGATCACAATATCAAACAGAAAAATCAATTAAGTAGACTAAAATCCACTTGAAAATGACATCTACATCTTTATTTTTGTATTTGTAATTGCTTAAGAAATGGTATTTGTGGTCCCTTGCCCTAGATTTATAATTGGAAACACAGAGTGATAAATTTACAATGTAAAATCATATTTACAAAAAGGCATTTTTCCAGACTGTTGCACTGCTTGTTTTCTACATTATTTGTCAAACATCATAAGAAAGAGAAATAAACTCTGATATACATACTAGATATAGTGTAGATCTGGAAAAGATATCTGCAGGTCAAGAAGATGGGATGATAATGGATGACAAACAAGTTGAGCTTCCTCTGTATTTTCTATATCTTTCCTGGATGACAAGGCAGAGGTGTGGGGGTGGGGACAAAAAAGTGGTATATCCTCATACCTGCACACACTGGTTGTTGCTGTCTGCTATTAATATTTTTCCATTTGTAGATGCAGCTACACCTTGAAGATTCGTAAATTCCCCTTTGTTTCTTCCTTTGGTGCCTAAAATTGAATACAAAGCACATAAGAAATCAGGTTAGACTAATCAGTGAGGACCTAAATGCCAACATGTGCATTTATTACATACTTGATATACAGATTTCTGTTTTGAAGAGTTCTCAACACTGCTACAACTTCAAAGAACCATCTCAGTAACAGATCCACATCAACGTAATTACCTCTTTGGCTTTCACAAACCAAACTGTTCACAATTCAGCTCTTGCACAAGGAAACTAGTAAAATGTTTTTTTCATAAGTGATGGACCATTTTTAAACAGTGGATTTTTATTCGACTGGGAAGGCAGTGAAAGGGGTGGTACTGTGGGAACATACAGACAGAGGCTAAGGTAATAACCTGGACAGATGACAAGGTTTTAGTACCGTTAGATAAATCTCCTCAGTGCAGTCACAAAGTTGAGATAAAACATATCGGTGATCACTTTGGATGGGGCCATTTCAAGACAGGGAAGTTTCCTACTCACTCATATACATTTTTCAGCCATTGGCTGAAAAAACTCCCTTAGAAGGGAAACTCGGATGAAACTGGTTCTGGGACCTGTGGGCCAATGAGGACCAATACGTGCTGACTGAACGCTTCCACAAAGACCTTAGATTGTTCTAATAAAGCAGTGTACACACACACAGGGCCCATTTTTGCCCAGGGCAAATGCAAAAGTGATTTACATAGAATTGTCTTTCCCCTAAAGGCTTAAGGGGATAAGGAGCTGTAAAATGTTAAATTTTCACACACGTTCACTAAGTTTAGGTGCCTCATTACCTAGATGTTTGTTCTGAGCCATTCCAAGGAGAATCACTCAGCAAACTGATGTCTTCAAAAGGTCAGCTGTAAAGTGGCTGGTCCAAATTACACTTGGAGCACAGGAACAGTATCCAGATTCCTGCTTTTTTTTTTATAAAGGAGGCTCAGGGGTCTTTAGACAAGACTGCAATTATGATCTTGGACCCCAAGGTTATTCATAATGAATGAATGAGTTTTGAAACAAAAATATTCTATAAGGTGCTCTTTCCAAGACTTGGATGCAGTGCTATTTTTACAAGCATTCGCTGGCTGCGTATCAGGCATTAATTTGTTCCAATATGTGGTTTTAACTGAAAAACTTCTATTTTACTTTAGTCCATCCAAAATACCCTGGAGATCCCTGATTAAAACTGTTCTGACTGTGATGTCTAATATGAGATATATATATTAGCTCTAATTTGTATTTAGCTTCCATTAGGGATGTGCATGCTCTTAACAACCCTTCTTTCGGCTGTGGTGATGGCTGTAGGATGCGTATTTCCTGTCACTGGTTTACAAGTAACATTGAATTCCTCTGCACTTGGAGCTGCAAGCATGTCCCTTTGTTTCAAGGCTTGTTTTCTTGAACTCCATATGCTCCATCCTTGAAACAAGGCAAATACTCCTCAATTTTTGTACTGCAAGGGGAAAGTACATATTCAGGGAACAGCGAGTTACACAGCAATTACATTACCCACACTTGAGCCATTTCTGTGTATTCTTTTAATGAGCAGTGCCTGAGGGATGCATGCAATAATTTTCTTCCACCATATGCTAATGCTAAGTTTCCTTTTTGCCTTTTAGCCAACAAGAATGGATGAAAAGGGAGAAACATTCCTTTTATTACTGAGACTAAAGGGAAAACATTTGTTAGAAAAGAGGAGGCGAAAGCTAGAGCATCTGGAACCAACTAGCACAAACCTTATGGAATGTATGCTCTTTACCCTTCTTCAAAGTCAAAGAACTTCATTTTTAAAGATAAGAGAGACCTATATAAAGAGTTACTCAGAGCGTTCTTCAGTGGAAACTTGTAAACATACATCAAAGGAAAAATAGAACAAATTACCCAGAATGCCATAGTCTCATTTCACAGTATGCTTAAGAAATAGTAATTTATTAGCACAGCATGCAGACAAAATTCAGCTCCATGCAACCTCCTTGTACGTAGGTCTTTCCAGGTATTAAATCCATCACATAGGTCCTAATTTGCCCACAGGCCTTTATAGAGTCCCCTCTGCAGTGGCCACAAGTTTCTCTGAAGAAAGCTGAGGTTAGCGAAACACAGCACATCTACAAACTTACGTTCCAGAGGAAAACAGGTAACGTTGAACTTTCTGATTTGAATAATTCACTATGCCAGCAAAGCTTTGAATCCAGGCACAGGCAGCAGCAGCAGTTCAGATGCTGAAAGGAAAGCTTATAGTGAAGTATGTCAGCCTCTGGAAAAGCAGGCTCCTGTCACTGACTCTGTAATACCAAAAGGCGATAGCTCCTTCTGGAAGTAGAGATTCCTGCCTTATAACACACCTGCCTGAGAGAGGGTCTTCAGCAAACCTTTTACTGCAAGATACCACCCCTCTGTGCTAAGGCACCCCACGCTTTGCCTTCTCTTCTCTTGGTCGTGGGCAGTGACCCATCACTCCTTAGCCCAGGGAGGCACCAACATTTCAAATGCACAGGGCTGGAATCAGAGCATGGCTGTGGGACCTTCATTCCAATGTTACCCAGCAGCCTGGATTAGAGAATAAATCCTGCACCTTTGGCACCAGTCTTTGCGCAGTGTTACCTCCCTCCTGCTCTGAGCTGCTCTGGGGCACAAAGGAGGAAAAGACATATGTTTTACTGCGACTTCTCTGGCAAGCTGCGAAGGACTGGGAGAGGACAGCAGAGTTTGCATAAGGGAAAGGCTGAACAGAGCGATCAGGAAGCAGACCTGTGGCCTGTGGAATAGCTCCTTCTCTTATCATTTTTGTACACAGATAATAAACAATCAGATTTGCCTTAGCCTTATCTAATTCCTTCTGGTATTACCAAACGTAGCCTGCACAAACCAATTAATTTAGCTTTGAAGATATGCTTTCAACGAAAGATTATCTATTTTCAGCTCAAGACAATCTAGCACACACATAGAATGCTATAAAATAAAATGCTTCATAACTTCAATCTTTTACTCTTGCACAATAGAGGCTGGATTGACTCTCACCAAAAAGGAGGGGGAAAAAAAAAATCCAAAAGCTCATTAAGATCACAGGACACTTCCCTGCTTGCTAACCTAGATTTACCAGCATCTTAAAACACAAAGAAAAATCATGTCACTGCCCCCAGCAGGAAGGGAATGGAATCAGGGAGACAAAAAGCCTGCAGAAAGATTACAAATTAATGGGGACACTTTAGAAGCTGGAAGTAACCATAACCTGTTTGGTAAGTACCACTTCTTTCCTGCCTACAGTTGGACTGTTCTCTACGTGGTACCAGAAAAAATTATAAAACTAAACAGCGTGGAAATGCCTACATACATACTGTATGGACAGGTATCAAGGAGTTGTTTTCTTGTTCCCTAGCTTCATTTCATTTTTCGTCAGGGTGCCAAAAGATATTTGGTCAAATCTTACACATTACAAGGATGTGATGACCTCTCATAATAAATACAGCTGAAACACAAAAGGCTCTGTAGTAAAACTGCACCAAATCAAATTGTTAACAAGCTACGTGCTTATTGTAAAATAAATGTCAGTGTTTCTAATCCAAGAGCCCATGCAAATCCAAATTTTAAAATCAATCAGTCTGTTGGATGAAGGCACACAATGTTTGTAACCTTTAAAGAGGAATGAATAATTCAGTAGGAACCCTGGCAGATACTCCCACACACTGTTGGTAGTGAAGTTTGGGCTGATTTGTATTAATTTGCTTTACACAGCATCTGTCCTTAAAAGCTTGGCCAAGACCATCTCCCAGCCTTGTTTGTGCAGCACAGCCCTGCCGACACAGGCAGGTATGCACAAATCCTAGGGGCAGGTATACCTCAGAAAGAGTTCTTTGCTGGTACAGCAGCAAACCCCCGAATGACATGAGTCCAACCAGGACCAGGTCTCTGGCCTCAGGACATCAGACCCATGCTGGGGATTTTGCCAGCAGTGGGATGTCAGAGTTCTTCACCCCCTGTCAGATACAGTTACAACTACAAAACTGCAATGTGGGGCTGGCCAAATTTCACACTGGCCACCACAAACCCATAAAGAGTTCGTGACAAGGCTCAGAAGGTCTTCACCTAATAAATTGGAAAATGAAATTATATTTCCCCATTACTAGGCAGTCCTGTTTCTACAGAAATATAAATTATGTATAGAAAGCATCTCACTATTTAGTACTACCTATTAATGGGTTTGTTCCTGAGTTCTGAAATAGAGAATGAAGAACAACTGATTAAAGTGGGTCAGAGGGGCATACTTCATGTATCACACTTCTGCACTCCATGGAACAACCACACATGCACAGCCCTTCCTTCTCTAATGCCCTTAGCCAGGCTGTAATTTGGTCAGGACAGGACCTTGCTGGAAAGGTAGAGAAGGGATGGTGGAACAGGAGGAAGCAGATGTTGTCTGCTACAGGGAGAAGGTTCCTCTGGACCATCCATGCAAGGATGAAACCATACATGTTTTTTTCAAGATGTGTACCCATATAACCCACTTTATTTTTGTAAAAGCTCAAGAAATATATATCTATAGGCAGCCCCTTCCTTTCAAACAGGATAATCCAATACCAAGTTTCAAGCAGAGGCAGAGAAAATTAAAGAAAAAACACCTGATGAAGAATCCCTTTGCTCCCCCTAAACCTCCCCCTAAACTACACTAAAGCTGTTCTTACACAGGCCTTTTTCCTGAGCTTTTATGTGGACTAAATTCACAACAAGGCTCCTATTTGCTTTCAGCATTGCTAACACACCAGAAGATGACATCCACACCTAGTAAGGAGGCTGACAGAAGGTACTGATAAAGGCACCTTTTTTTTTTTTTTTAATCAGAGTGAATGGCACACATTAAATGTACCAGCTAAACTTAGATGCTCGGTTACATGACTGAACAGAGAACTAAAACACAGTCTGAGGAAAAGGAAAACTGAACTTTCTAGCAGAGAGCCAACTCTCCATCTGGCTATATCTGATGCCAATCCCAAGTATAAATAAATGAAGAGGAAAAGCAGTTCAAGTGGGAAATAGCACCACTACTGCCAAATGGTGTCAAAGAGCCCAACCATGAAAAGTGCCAGAAGAGAAAAAAATACCAAGGCATATGGCACGGGATGACAGTGCCCATGGTACAAGATGGGGTCCTGGACAAAGCAGCTAACTGGTGCCACCCACGGCTCTCTATCCTCCTTTGGAGGACATGGATGAGATTTACCAGGAAAGATGGGAGGGGCTGACACGGTGAACATCGCTCACCTCCACTTACCTCTGCTCAGCCTGGGTCTAAGGGTCTAAGCAGGGTAATGGAAAAGAGCCTGCCCTCTCACTTTAGTGCTTCCTACCACTTGTAGAAGTAGCAAAACCACCATGCAACAATTATTTTCTGGGTATGTAAGCACACTCTTGTTTTCATTTGTATAAACTAAGTACGTGCTACACAGTGCATGGACACGCTCTTAGAGATCACGCCTGTTTAAAAAAAATTAAAAAGGTTGGCGATATAAATTATTGCGAGAGGAGGAAGCAGGAAATACTCTGTTCTTGTAAATAATGAATTGCACAAATGTATGAATGTGCAGTCAAAAGCTTGACCTTAAAAGGTCTGAATAGAACCACAGGCCATTTTAAAAGCCTTGAATAACATGGAATTGGCAAAAGATACAATGCACAATTCCCTGTGAATGAAAGCACTTAACTGTACTAATGTTGTATTAATGCCATCTCTGTTAATACTACCACAGGAACAATCTCCTGCTAGGAGCTGATCAATTCAATTGTGCATAAAAGACCATACATCAGCATATATACAATAGCATACACAATACACTTGGATGCCCATAGGAATATTACTGTATGTTTCTCCAGCACAGCTGTAAGAGCTTTTGGCAGCCCAAATGTAAGATTTACATTGCCCAGTTTAAAATACAAATCCAGGCCAGGATTGTCAGAAGAATTCAGCAATGTGTTTAAAATAGAGATAAGCAGTTGTGTTGGAAAACAGTGATAAACTGTATTTTACATTACCTCATCAACTAATGAACCAAACCTTAACTTTTCGTAGTGAGCTGAAACTGGAACTAACCAAACCCTTAAATGCATGAAGGCAATCCCTGTGAAAATGTCAAAAGTTTTACCTGCCTTCATTAATTTCACATATTATGGAAGAGTGTGAAAAGCTTGATCATTACAGCTGCAATGGCTTAGAGACCTTTCAGACAATGCATAGATAAGCCTACAGAAGCCCAGAGGGACATATCTATGTAGGGTCATTCTGTGAAATGAGTGGCTGAGACCTGAACATGTAATAGGATCAAGTATTACTCTCAGCTCAGTTTTTTCAAGAAAAGAGCAATCCATATACCCCAAATGTGGACATTCCTGAGAGCATTACCTCTGAGACATGTAGCTCGTTCTAATTCTTTCCTCTTATTTTTTTGAGGGGTAGATGGTGAAGAAGGAGAGGAGGCAGAACTCCAAAATAAAGCACATGGTCACGATTGCACCACAACAGAAAGAAAAAGCACTGAACTTTTTGGAAAACATTTAAGTCTCTGGAGTTTATGGTGTATTGGAAAGAATAGTTAAAAAAACCCCCACAAAATCCAAGCCAGAGCCATACCACTACTGAGTAGTCAGGCTAGAAACTGCTTGCCAGAAGCAAGGGATACAGAAGCAGAAATTAAAAGCTAAAATCACTTTAATCCATACCAAAACCTTTGTAACAACAATATTAACAATTTTAAAATAATTTCAGGACATGTCTCTTTTTTTAAAGTATTGAGATCTACGATTTCCACACAGGGACAAATAAATGTTTGATATATGTCAGCAAGAGGGCTTAGCATTCAGCGCAGACGTCAGTCACAATGTGTAACAGGGCTCCCCTGTTACTCACAGGCACACTGTACCTGTGCAGGCCTTCCTATCCTGCTCCTACCTGCTACAGACCCACAGACTCTTTCTGCCTGAATCTGGTCATCCAGCCACTTCTCTGTCTAGAGTACAACATCACAACTGTTCCAGAAAAGATTAGAGAGAAGTTTTCTTTCTAGACAGGGTTCAGACATTATTCTTAACTGTTTTGCCTAACCATGTCTCAAAATAGAGCCCCCAGAAGATCTAGGCTACATTTGCACATACCCTCTGCCACACTACCAGCATCAGCAGTGAAACTGCATTTGGGAAGAGCCACAGGTTCCTTTCCATTCCAGTGGGAGCCTGAGACTGATCACTCTGCCCTGTGCAAGGCCTTCTTTCCCCATGGGATTGCTAACAGGGGCTCTACCGGGGTGACTACAGCAATAGCTTTTGCAACAAGAACACCCTCCTGCCAGAGGAAGGGCTCCGTCTGAGTACTAATTTAACAAAGGTCATCTACCAGCTTTGGACAATAAAGCATGGTTAGTGCCATGTAGGGCTGGCTTGACATCAGTATGAGTTATTCTGCATCATATTTCTAACTTGTGACTCAGCGGTCATCATAAAACTTAGCTTTAGTGACAGTAACACTGGATATCATTGCCTCCATAAAAAATACTTTGAGTTCTTATATTTATGGGGTCATTTATCTTACAGGGAAATGCACTGTCCATCTGGGAGAGGTTGGTCGTTTTACAAGTAGCTCCATCCAAAGCTTACACTATGCTGTCCTATTCAGCAAGAAAAACCATGGCGTTATTGCATGTACTCTTTATCACAGCAAGGAATCTATTAGAAATACTGATGGATGAGAAATCAGACAGACAGGACTAACCAAATGACAAATGGTGTCCAGATTAATTTTCAATAGAATTACTTAAAAACCCTCCAGGATTAACCGCCATCCATTCTCTGCTACAAAGGGGAAAGCCACTTCGCCGACTGGTTGTCAAACTCGATACCACACACTGCTGAAATTCTGACTTGTACATATTAGGCATTAACTTGCTTTTTTCTTCAGTTATGCAACGTGAGAAGTATTTTATAACTATAAAAGCAGACATTATATAATTACAATAAATACAGACTTTCAAAATTCTGAATTATTTTATAGCTTAAAAACAGAGTACATCAAAAAAAGAAAGAAAATCACAGTAAATGACACCAAGATATTAGACATTTAGCAAGCATTAGAAGTTCACAAATTTAGAGATAACATTACGTTATATAAAGAACCAAACCCATTTTGATACTGGAGGAAAAAAGCAAATAAAGGAAATGGCAATTTTGTCTTATGCCGACATAATGAAATAACTACATATGTCCACAGGATTCAGCATGTATAGTTCAAGATTAATTAATTAATCTTTAGGGCAACAGCTTTAGAGAAGGAGTCCTTCTACTTCCCTTCTTGTCATGCAATTTTTTAAAGAAGTAATTTAATCTAATCAGAAGCACTGATCTTTACAGAATATTTACAGAATGTGGAAAAATGGACTGGCCACTTGGGAGGAATATTGGAGTGTTGTCAGAGCATGCAGGGATACAACGAGGAAGGCTAAGGCCCACTTGGAATCAAACCTGGAAAGGGATGTCAAGGACAATAAGAAGGGCTTCTTCAAGCATATCAGTAGCAAAAGGAAGAGGAGGGAAAATGTGGGCCCACTACTGAATGAGGTAGGTGCCCTGGTGACAGAGGAGGCAGAGAAGGTGCGGTTGCTGAATGCCTTCTTTGCTTCAGTCTTTACTGCCAAAGCCGGCCCTCAAGAATCCCAGACCCTGGAGGTTAGAGAGAGAGCCTGGGGAAAGGAAGACCCTCTGTTAGTTGAGGAGGATCAGGTTAGAGATCATCTAGGCAAACCTGACATCCACAAATCCACAGGCCCTGATGGGCTGCACCCCTGAGTGCTGAGGCAGCTGGCAGATGTTATTGCCAAGCTGCTCTACGTCATCCTTGAAAAGTCATGGAGAACAGGGGAGGTGCCTGAGGATGGGAGGAAAGCTAATGTCACACCAGTCTTCAAAAACAGCAAGAAGGAAGACCCTGGAAACTACAGGCCAGTCAGCCTCACGTCCATCCCTGCAAACAGAATTTCTGAAGAATATGTTTTTAAAATATACATTGAACAAAAGTCAAGAAGCCTAATTACAGCTTTAACCTTAAAATAATCTAACTTCTAGATTTTTTCATCCAATTTCCCTTAACTATTTTTCAGTATGTCAATAGGTAGCAGACAAGTCACCTACCTACTCTGAAGATCAAATCATCTTCAATGGGATTCTCTTTTCTTTTGCCAGTGCTGTACATGCTCGCAGGTCTTTTCACAGCTTTCTGCTTCACATGACCACTGCCAGGAGATTTAACACGCCTCTTAACCCCTTCAGTGGTAGGGGACACATCTGCCGACCTGACCACTTTAAGTTTGAATGGGCTGCCCTTGATATGTTGATCATAAAGTCTCAGTGACAAAGTGAAGTCCCCTTCTTTCTGAACAGTATACAAAAATTCATAAGTGCCATTTTTATTGTCAAGTATTTCTCCATCTGCTACGCTCCCATCAGGTGTGCTCAGTTCAGCAGTGAGGTAAGCGTTCCCAGATTTACAGAGCTCCCCATCTTTGTCCTTAGTTGTGATGGTAACGGACATGGGCTGTCCGATCACTGTCTGCCTCAGCCCCTCACCCGTGGCAACTGTTTCAGAGGCAACAGCATTGGTCGTTAGAATAGTACCCAGATTGTGAATGGACTTCTTCAGGCCTTCTGTTTCCACTATGAAGTCCAGCTGATCGTTTTCACGGGGCTGCAACGGGAAGTCCCGCTCAGCCAGTTCATTCAGCTTGTCGCTCATCTGCTTCTTCACCAGAAGAACTTCCGTTTCAGTGCCGTGGTTGAGGGCTTGAGCCGTAAAGTTGCTGCAGCTTTTAATGCTTTCTTGTCCTTCAAGTAAGGTATCCAGCTGTGTCTGGAGGACCTGTGTGCATTACCAGACACCAGATTAGCATCATACTACAACAACTATCCTAGCAAGATGTAGCAGGCTTTATATCTGAAGGACCTTGAACAAATCAATTTATAGTGCTTTACTTTGGAGCTTATTTTGAAATTACATTTTAGAAAATGTACCACACTGATCCCCTACATGTTCTTGGATTATCATGCTGCAACACAAAAAATTTACCCTGTTTGGGTCTTCAAGGCTTCACAGATCCACTGTCACACTAGACTGAATTACCTGGAAAGCTGTCTTGTCTTTTTTAAAAAAAAAAAAAACAAAAACCAAAACCAAAACCAACAAAAAAACCACAACCATAAAACAACCAAAACCAAACAACCAAATGTAGAAGCTTGAACCTTCCTTCATCTAATTTCCTCCATCTAATTCTCAGCAGACACGGTTAATGAGACAGTATTGGGAACTGAGCTGTGTGCACAGACATATTTTTAAGTCATCAGACCCATTAATAAGAGAGGCTGCAAGAAACTTCAAGAAACTTTTTCAGAGCCAAGGGGAACCTTGGGTTACTCCGCTATGGAGACAGACAGAAAGCACTCTCAAGATCTGTACATCCGTCCTAAGAAAAAGTGTGATTCCTGATCTAAGTAAGTGAAGAAAGGAAAAGTCTCCCCAGCAGAAGCGAGTAAGTTGATTCCCCAGTTTCAGCAGGCAGGAAAGTAAAACATACAGGATGGGTTGTGGATACTGGGAAGAGCTGGGTTGAGTAGCCTGAAATTTTGGTGGGGAGCAAGAAGCTACTCTATATTTAAGACTGAGAAAGAGCTTTTATTATAGGCTTAGTTCTGGCACAGTCTAAAATCCTTAAAACACGATTGACCTCAAAATTGTTATCTGTGGGCTGGGAACAAAGCTCACTTTTCTTTTTTTTTTTTTTTAAACCAGTTTTGCAGTGAATTGGAAGAAGGATCCCTGAATTATAACAACCTATCAGAGAAATTCATGACAGTCAGGAAAGCTAAAACACTCCAGCTACACTCTCCACTGATGAAATCCCCAAACCAAAGTACCCAGTCACACATGTGGTATGTTTTTCCTACAGAGAACTAGGGCACAGACATTGCTGTGGATCAGAGAAGCTATTTCATTGACCATCACTGTAAAGTAAATATTTTCAAAATATTTCAATTGATTTTAAAGTAGACTTAGACACTGGGTGTATTTATTGCTATGAGATACTCTTCCCTTGCTGAGATACACTGTGCAAGGACACTGCATTCTAAGGGCATTTTTCTTCTCAATTTTGCAAAGCTACCTGCTTTTCACCCTGAAGAAAATTCAGGCTGATGAGTTTCTGATACAGGAAGGTGATAACAACACAAAATCTTCTGCAAGGGAATCAGAATGAACAAATTTCAAGACTACACTGAAATTTCAAGTTATCTGTTTTTCTAGGCAGCTATAAACCTCTCAGGATTCAATACAAGACATTTATACCCTGCCTTGTCTTTATTCAAGGGCATAAGTAGTTAAACGGATAGCATAGCTAATGAAGTCCCCGGATGACAAAACCCCGTATGGCTGGGATAACAAACCACAAACTGAGGAGGAAGACAATTTGCAGCTATGTTTTAAAACCATTATATTCTCCATATAGTTTTCTTTCATTACAAAGATGGAAAATATTAAATCCTATCATAACAAATGTTTAAAATGTGTTTAGAATATTTCACGAGGCCTCTTTCAGTCCATTGAACAACTGAAACTGAATCACCAACTTTCTTTTATTAAAGTGTAGCCCTTTATTTTTTATTTTTGCAAAGTACATGATCATTATGATGGAATGTTTGGGTTTGAATTATTTTGCAGGACAGTTATTCATTCAAAAATAAGATCCAATTCCAATCACTCTTTTTTATACAAACAGGGGAGATGCCTCTTTTACTACTTACGTGCAGCTTTGTATCAATTTGCTTCTCTAAAGCCCAATATAGTTTTGAAACTATTTTAAATCCCCTTAAACAACAATAAAATATTTTAACATCATATTCCATCTTGTGTGGAAAAACTTTGTATGCACCCTGAGTATATTTGCTTGCTAAGAAAATAAGTTTTTGGGACATCTTGGATACATTTAGATGAACCTGGGATCTAAATATTTCATGCTAAAATCTTCCCAGCTGCTGCTTACCTCTGGCAATGACTAAATCTTGTGACCCAGGGGCTTTGGTCTACCTGTGGTCCTGAAAGTACACATCTTGTGCACATGTTAGAATTCCCCCATTTTTACAGGCCCAGCAGTTCAATACCTTCCTAATGATCAATCCTGTTCCAGATCCAGGAACGCAGCATTCCTCCATTTCAGACAGCTGGAGATGCTCAAGCTGCTCAGTAATCACAGAGAATGACCAAAGATGCCAATATTATCGGGCACTCTTGAAACTCGAGTTGCTGATGCTGCTATCTTTTAAAGGCTACTTTGAGGGAAGAGATCTTTCTTTTATATAGGACAGAGAACTGATGCCCAGGAAGACAAGGACTAAATTGGGTCATCTGCCTGATTCAGACTAACTAATCCTCAATACAACTCCACCCACCAGTCTACAGGCTTCTCTTTGCATAAGCACGGTTTTCTGGTTTCTTCCTCTGAAGCTTAGTCTACAGTACAGGTGGAAAAATGCCAGATGCAATCATCCAGATAGAAAATAAAAAACTGAATACAGCTCTGGAATCTATTGCTCTTTATATTCCCCTGAGAAAGTGCAATGCCCCTCCAATTTATGTGTTCCAACCAGTGACATCCAATATGAAATGTTACTACGCATGTGAAAAGGAAAACAGTGCTTTAAAGCAAAACAGTATCACAGAACCATGGGGTGGTTTGGGTGGGAAGGGACCTTAAAGATCATCTAGTTCCAATCCCCCTGCCATGGGCAGGGACACCTTCCACTAGACCAGGTTGCTCAAAGCCTCATCCAGCCTGGCCTTGAACACTTCCAGGGATGGGGCATCCACAGCTTCTCTGGACAGAGCCTTGCTCAGTTCTTCAGAAGAAATTGTTTGGCCTGTATCTTCACAGGGCAGATGGATGGAGGGAATAATTCCATTTATCAGGCTGGGCACCCACAAGCAAGGCTCTGCAGCACTCGATTTCAAGAAAACACAGTTCTCCTCTGGATCCCAGACACAATTTGCAAACTGGTGTCCTGCATCATTTATAAAAACTGGTTTATTAAATTAATAGCTTTTCAGTGAAACAAAACATGCATCTTACTTTGTGTTTAAGGCCATAATTCACTTCCAGTTCCATAAGCAGCACGCTCTTTCTCACATTTAAAGTCTTCTGGAGTTCATCAAATGTGGAATGAATGTCATCTACAATGCTAGCCTTTTGGTTGGTTAACTGATGTATGATTTCAGATATAAAATGAAGTGCTGAGTCGATCTCTGGAAGCCTGGGGGAGGGATTAAATTACAAAGATTGCTCTTTCGAAAGTCATTAAACACTGGCCCTTGCCCTGATATCTTTTGATGAAACAATCTCAGCAACAGGCTTTCCTGTAACTCGTTCATTTCCCAGAAGGAAGGTCATTCTTTTTATAACCACATAGTGGTTTTGGTCTCATAAAATAAGGCTGACCCCAGGCCCTCCCTTGTGGAAATCCATTAGACTTTAGGCATTTCCAACAAGGAGGTCTTGGATCCTCCGTCCTTTATGAAAATGTATGTACTTGGGAGGATATAACTAGCTCTGACCCACTTTTTTTTTTTTCTTAGCCTTTCTGCCACCCTAGTGTTTTTACTAATCTTTTAAGCATCCAGTATTATTTATTTATCATTAAATTCATGACTGACTAGTACTTTTCTCCTTAAAATTTCATGCCCTTTTTTTGGAGGACACTTGCATTCCTAATGGCCTCTGTTTTGTGACAGACAGAAACCTGTTGCTCTTTTCTCTAATCCCTCAGTGCATCACAGTCAATGGAATTTTTTTCTTATGCTAGTCTCACTATCCCTGTTTTCTAAGTAAAGGTCCACGGCAGAAGCACATTAAAACATCCACCCAAAGTAACGCAGGAATCCAGTGGTAGAATTGAAAATGGAAAGTAATCAGAGGAGTCTCCACACCTTTTGTTGACAGCATCCAACTGGACTTGGAGGGAAGCCTTGTGTTGTTCCACCACATCCTTGAGTGGTACCGTGGGATGCTCTGCGTGTTCTCCCTCTGTACACTCCCGGCACATGGCTGTCTCGCAGGACTGGCAGTAAAAGTCCATCAGCTGGAAAAGAGCACAACTCTAAAATCAAACATGACAGCAGTAATATCACTCAAAGCACATCTTACTGGGTCTTGAACTCATGTTATTATCCGTAGTCTGACACGAAGTTTACCCTTTCTTAGACAACATTCATTTACTGCCTAAAAGACGGCTGTTGTATATTTCATATAAAAATGCTGGTTTAAGTACATGTTATTGATCTACACCCACTGGTTCTGAAATTCCATCCACTAACTCCCCACCTTAAACCAGACCAGCACACTTTACCACAATGACCTAATGAGAGACCACGCATATCTTCACTGCCTTAATTTAACTGAATTTGCAGAAACTTTTTAATTTGCGTAATCAAGGATGCAGGTACTTCTGAATTATATTTCTCAAAGCCAAAGCACACTAATTCCAGCCCTTCAAAGTTCAGGTCTCAAGAAAAAGGCTCTCAGGAATCACAAGCCTCCCTTCTCTAAAATCACATTTGAATAATGACACTGTTCATCCTCCACTTCTGATTTGTTTGAATTAAAACAGCAGTCCAGAGAAAAAGGATGAGTCTGCTCTTTGCCAGCCTTCTTCCTCATCTCTCACACATGCTCAATTCCTCTCTTATAGGGCTAATGTGTAGCTTAGCCTTGTATGCTTTGGTTTTTAGAAGAATATAAGTTTGGATTACTTGAGGGCACTTGCCAGATACCTGGCAAAGTTTTGAATGCGGGGTTTTGTTCTTCCTAGTCGTAGCTTTTCCCTTACCCATGCAATAAACCTGACAGCTTTAAGCAGATTTTTAAAAAGTTTCGTAAGACTGTCGTGGCTTAACTGACATGCTTACATACAAATGAGCCACCTCAATCCTTTGTATGAATTTCCAACTCAGTCAGGTATGATTGTGAGAGTCACACTATTGCTTCCTAATGGTAATAAATGTCCCTTGTGAAGCAGAACAAAATTTTGCCATCAGGGAGCTCAGTTTATTACTTCAAATGCTTATTAAGAGTCTAACTCTGACCTTCTGAATTTTTTATGCAACCTCAATGACACATTGAATGTTGCAGAGTACAGAAAAAATGAGATTAGCCTTTAATGGGATACACAAGTAGGTGACATGGTGGAAAGTACAGAGATGAGGAGAAAAAAAAGGTCTAAAAGGTATGTTATGAAGCTCCTTCACCAGAATATCAAGGATAGGGGCTTTTTTATGTTTTCTAAGAGAAGCATACAGGCAGTAAGCTACACCTGCACAAGCCTAGGCAATGTTTTTCTAGACAAGATCTTATACCTGTCAAACTGCCAAGTTATTCCATGATCTTTTAAGAAAAAGCTAGTCAGAGATAGGGCATTCTCTTGTTTCAAGCATTTAATTTAATATTGGATATGCTCTCTTGTTACATTATATAGGCAGAAAACACACTGCACTTGTAAAAGCATGGATCCTAGACTCTGGACTGGTTTTCACCACAAATCCAAGTAAAACCCAGAAAGGGACTTTGCAGGATGGGTGACTGGAAAGAGGCTACACCACTCATTACATATTATGAAGTAATGGACCTAGAATTCCACAGCCTTCCCTGTACCAGCTGTTGTACCCGCCCCTAAATGACTGTAGATCAAAGTTTCCAAACCAAGATGCTTATCTTCAACAAAAGCTTCAGGTGTGTGGCAGCTGAAAATAAAATCAATCTTATTTTAATGTGTAGGTAGAAGATAACAACCTTCTGTTAGGTTCAGAAGTTCCATAATATTTGTGCCCTATTACCCCGATTTAACAAGAACATTTATTTATGTTCTGCATTGGGTGAATATGAGGAAGCATTTGTTTATAGTTCAAGCACAGGAAACCATCTCTCGTGTTAAGATACTACAAGCTAAGTGTCATTTTTCCTAAGAACGCACACAACAAAGATGCCACAACAGAGGATGAGAGGGTGTGCACAGAAGGAATAGGATACAGAGACACACATATGGAAAATACAAGTGATGGGAATACAACAACAACTGGAAGGGTAAGCATCTAATCTACATGGCCTGAGGAAGGCTAAGTTACAAGCACACAGGAAAGCCAGTGAGAAAGAATATGTGCATCAGTTTCTATCTGACTTTAATCAGAGAGGTTTAAATCCAGCATGGCTGGAAAGAATGAAAAAACTTGTTTAAACAAAAAATTATTTCCAAGCTAATACAAAGAAAATCTGGTATTTTTAATGAATTAAAAATCTTAATTTTTAATTATTTAAATGAAATATACTTGATGCAAATTTTTCTCTTGAGTAAAAATACAGTGGGTCTGACTGTACCCCAAACAATACATAGAATCATAGAATCATAGAATCACAGAATGGTTTGGGTTGGAAGGGACCTTAAAGATCATCTAGTTCCAACCCCCCTGCCATGGGCAGGGACACCTTGCACTAGACCAGGTTGCTCAAAGCCACATCCAGCCTGGCCTTGAAGACATCCAGGGATGGGGCATCCACAACATCTCTGGGCAACCTGTTCCAGTGCCTCACCACCCTCTCTGGGAAGAATTTCTTCCTGATATCTAATCTAAACCTCCCTGATTTCAATTTATACCCATTACCCCTTGTCCTATCACTACAGGCTCTTGTAAAAAGTCCTCTCCCAGCACCCTTGTAGGCCCCCTTCAGATACTGGAAAGCTGCAATGAGGTCTCCTCGGAGCCTCCTCTTCTCAGGCTGAACAAGCCCAATTCTTGCAGCCTTTCATCTTAGGAGAGGTGCTCTCTAACATAAAAATTAATGGAGAGAGGATTCAATGCAGAATAACAACCGCTGGTTCCGTGAAGGCATTCTGCTCCAGCTACCACCAAAATCCTCTCTCACTCCCTAGAGCCCCCAGCAAAGCTGTTAGCAGCCAGGCACTTGCCACGCGGTGCCCCCATGCTGTGTACCCATGAAGCCAGCAAAAGCCCATTTCCTCAATCAGGCCTAAGGTGCCCAGCACCTTGCCCTGCGCACCCTGCCCTTCAGCCAGACCCACCTGGCAAACCTCAGGCAGCTCTCCCCAAAGTCCATCTCAGCTCTTCCCATCACAATGACTAATGTGTGCACTTCAGCTTTTAATTTCCTAGCTCCACAAAGCTTTAACTTGGAGTTGCCCTCAGTCTGTCCCCAACCCTCCCAGACCCTGAAGCAAGAAGATATTCCCATCACACACTACTCCTTATCCTCAAAGGCATGCTATGTTTCAGGGCAAGCCAAGCAAGTTTGGTTTA